GGCGCCAGTTGTCTGAGGTAAAATATGCAAGAAAATGGTGGTCAAAGTTTGGGGACTTCCAAAGCGTGAGAGTCCTTGGAAACTGCAAATTAACATTGTTGTGTGCCTTTTTTCAACGTCTTTAAGTAGAATTCATACGAAAATGAGTTTTAACTGAACCTGAAAGAAAAGGTTCTATGCCCCCCACCCAAAAATAAGTTTTTACAAATAGAATTTAACCAGTAAACTGTGGACAACTGACAGGAAAAGGCAGTTTCTTTGATTTCATTATTTTCGACGAGCGCCTGATTTCACCACGAAGCAACACATATGTAAATCGTCCTCTACTCCTCGGTTACGATCAGCTATGCACGCTGGGATAAGATTTCAAAGGACACGCGGGGGAAAAGATGGGAGACTGTCCTCCTGTGAGTGAGTATTTAAACTTTTGCCCCATCGTCAGCCATTGTCTGCTTTCCTTACGGAGTCTCTCTCGGGTATGTCATTGTGTTGCTCCGGACCAACCAAGATCTTTTGGAATCCTATTGGATTCTTTTATATTTTTTGTTAGTTTTTTTTTATAGTTTATTTTTCAACGTTAAGATTTTTATTATTAATTTTATCAGACATAATATTCCCAAATTAAATGTGTCGTTAGGAAAGAAAAGGTTATCGTTACATATATACCTACAACTAGTAACATGTATTGAGTCTCTCTAGGGTACTTTTGGAATGCTGTTTGATTCCTTTATACTTTTTGCTAGTTGTTTTTTTTTTCGTTTGTTGTTAAGATTTCTATTATTCATTTTATCAGACATAATATTCCCAAATGAAATGTGTCGTAAGGAAAGAAAAGATTATCGTTACATATATATCGTGAGCCAAGAATTAACATGTACGGAGTCTCTCTCGGGTACTTTTAGAATCCTGTTTGGTTCCTTTATATTTGTAGCAAGGTTGTTTTGTTTTGTTTTTGGGGTGGGTTTTTTTTCTCTTTCGATCTTAAGAATTCTATTATTCATTTTGTCAGTCATAATATTCCCAAATTAAATGTGTCGCTAGGAAAGAACAGTTTATCATTACAAATAGTAACATGTACAGAGTCTCTCTCGGGTACTTTTGGAATCCTGTTGGATACCTTTATATTTTTTGCTAGGTTTTTTTTCGGCCGTTGTTAAGATTTCTATTATTCATTTCTATTATTCATTTCTATTATTCATTTCTATTATTCATTTCTATTATTCATTTCTATTATTCCTTATATCAGACACAATTCCAATATTAACTGTGTCGTTTAGAAAGAAAAGATCCTTACATCTATATCGTCGGCCTTGTAGTAACATGTACATAGTCCAAAATTGAGATTCTTGGTTCTGTTGTGGGGTTTTTTGGTGTTTATTTGTAATTGCTCATTCTTAATTTGTGATATCAGTTGCATGTGCTCGAGAAATATTTATTTGACAAAATTCGAATTCTAAATGTTAAAAAAGGAAATAACAAATGAATACCCCATGTGGTCACCAGAGGCAGGAGAGTGACTGTAACCGACTTCCCGGGGCCTGGCGAACGGATTATTTTCCCCGTCAAATTATTGCACCAAGTGACTGCAAAGTCTTAGAGCCCGTGCTTGTTTTTGAGGCGACTGAGTCTAGAAATCTGCCCGATCCGCAGATCCCTATACGTTCTTATACTAACAGTCTCTGACCGTCTGAGCCGATCCCATCAGTAGTGGACACCCCCGTATTAACCTCGGGCTGGCCACACCCACCTGTATCTTCAAGCCCCACCCACCTGTATCTTCAGGCCCCACCCACCTGTATCTTCAGGCCACACCCACCTGTATCTTCAGGCCACACCCACCTGTATCTTCAGGCCACACCCACCTGTATCTTCATGCCCCACCCACCTGTATCTTCAGGCCACACCAACCTGTATCTTCATGCCCCACCCACCTGTATCTTCAGGCCACACCCACCTGTATCTCCATGCCCCACCCACCTGTATCTTCCGGTCACACCCACCTGTATCTTCAGGCCAGACCCACCTGTATCTTCATGCCCCACCCACCTGTATCTTCAGGCCACACCAACCTGTATCTTCATGCCCCACCCACCTGTATCTTCAGGCCACACCCATCTGTATCTTCATGCCCCACCCACCTGTATCTTCATGCCCCACCCACCTGTATCTTCATGCCCCACGTGGTCTTGGCCTCCCACCGTCCAGCACAAATGTCTCCTTGTTGTCCGGCCTCCACTTGACCTTGGTCACAGCTGCC